TATGCAATCCCCTCCATTTGGGAGAGAATCCCAAATGCTGGCAAAATTTTAGAACTATTTTCAAAATTTTAAGAGAACCCAAATCCTATCTTTTAATTTTCTTCCGAAACTAACATTTAAGGATCAAATCCTGTAAACTTGATCTCACAAGTAATTCACCAGAATGCAAATAAACCTTTTCAATTCTGCAAACAGGCTCAATAAATACATATCCTCTAGTGATCAAAGGTTTCCCATTCAAAGATCACATTTTATTTTACTGTACAATGTTAACATGAACTGTTTTGATTCAGCCCTTTTCCTTAGAAAGTCTATTTCCAGGAATGCAGAAAAATCCTTTTCTGAAAATCTGGGTAAATATATCATGTATTGATACATTTAACAAAACAAAAAATTATTAGCTCTTAGAAGCAGAATTACTAACTAAGGTGAATCTTTTGCTGCAGAATACTTGAATCTGGTAACCCACCATTTCCAAACCAGAGTATGTGCTGTGCTGCCTCACAAATTATTCAGGATTCTATGGCTTTGTTTTCTCAGATTATGCACACATATTTTGCCTGTAGGAAGAAACTCTATGGAATTGCCTTTCTAAAGCTTGGCACAGCTGTAAAATTCTGCAGCTGGTCTTATAAAGTTATTTTACCTGTTGCATGGACCTTGATCAGCATACAGAAACCTGGCTTGGAGAGCTGTGTCATTGAAAACAACCACTTGTGCCTCACTTAGGGAAAATATGTTTACCTTCATTTTCTCTTTAGTCAAATTCATTAAAACACATTTTTGATTGCTTCTTTGTGTACTCTGGTCTTATGTTGATTCCTCAAAGTTTGCCATTGTTTTAGTTTTAGTTATTAAATTTATATCATCAAAATACTGTAATTTTGGAATTCTGTACTTCGTTATACCCAGAATATCACTGAAAATCTGCTTCACTAATTTTGCTCCCCGGTTTCCACAAATGCAATAAATAATGCTATAAATATCAGCTCTGTGGTAACTTTCATAAAAGAACATCACACATACACACACAAAAATAGAACAAGCCCAGGAACTGCAGTCCTGTGTCAGAAGAAATTCCTGATAATTATCAACACTTTTAAGTTTAAGAAAAATAGCACTAATATTTTTTGCTGTCTGTTCCTCACCTCATAGCATGACAAACCTGAGGTTACAGTGTATATTGTTCTGTATCTTGTATTGATGACACACTTGCAGGATGCATCACCACGTAGTGACTACTTGTTTCAAGGCTGAGAGAAAAACTTGGATTGGTGCTGACATGGCACCCCAGCCAAGCAGTTACAAGAAGTAATTGGGCAGCAAGCCTGAATGGCCTTTTCATTGCTTTTATTTAAAATTATATAGGTGAGGATTATTTCCATCCTGTTTTAACTTGGTACACAATTTTACATGACACATCTCATCAGCAAGCAGTAACAAAATACTGTGTTTCCAAGGGAACCAACAGGGAGCATTGCCATGGGGCCTGAGGCAAGGTGAGCATGCTGTGGCTGCAGTCACCAACACCACTGCCAAGGGCTGCTGATGTTGAGACACTACCTCAGCTCCAAAGAGGCACAAGGAAGAGAAAAAAGCAGGGGATACCATTACTGAGACTCCTGCCCTGTGAGATACCTCATAGCAAGTCAAGGAGCCCCAGGAGAAGCAGCAAGGGCAGATTTCAGATAGTTTTTGCCTCACTCTGCACCATCCTCACTCCCAGCCTGAGCCCTTCCCAAGCTCCTGCAAGGACACAGCCAGGGTAAATTTGGTATAGATCAAACCTTTACCTTATAAGAGGAATATACCTTTTTTATTTAAGATAATACCTTGAAAAAGAAAAGTTTTGCCATCCTGGCCTTTCTGTCTTCCTGCATCTATACATTCATAAGCAACACTTTATATTTTGGTCACCAATGCCAAAGTATATTATAGCTAATATTTTTGAACACCCTCATGATTATCACTGTAAAGGCATGAGATACCCAGACATTAATTAGAAAAATCTGACACACTGATTAAAACCCCCAACACCACCACCCCCCACCCCAACCCACACAATAAACCCAATGTTAGCAGGAAAAGGAAACCCATTTGAGCTGGGTTTCGTTCAACTTAAAACCACAGTAATTTTGAATTAATATTTCTATCCTGCTGCTCAAAGAATGCATTTCTCTCAAGCTTCCCAGCTTGTCACAGTTGGCTTGCTGTGACTCCCAGACCAGACCTGCCAGGCGGGCATGACAAAATAGAGGGACGGGAATTATAGAGTTGCCTGAAAAACTTTAATGAGAGTAAAATAACAAACCGCAGAAACTGCACATCCTGGGGGCAAGCTCCAGGGACCAAGGGGCGTGGTGAACTGTATAATATGTAGGCGTACCTGAGGGCAGGGTCCAATCGCAAACGTGGACCACGGACATGACCTTAAAAGTGACAGGTTGCAAACCAACAGAGAGCCAGAACAACAAACATAGCCTATTACAGAATAATCCCAGTAGCATCCTAGTTTCCATACTTTCAGTATTCCTCCTCTGATGCTCTCAGGTTTATGCCTTCTGTACAAGTCACCTGGGCTAAGCCACTATCCATCACAGCCAGTTCAGTTCCCATACCAGCTCTTTTCTGTTCAAAATAGTAAGCCTCACCATCAGTGGGATGTTCAAATGTAGTTTTCTATTTCATTTGAACAAGTATACTGCATCAGACTGTTAAACCCCAAATCTTATGAAATACAGAGAATCAGGGGTGTAATGCCAATCCAGCTCGTAAGAGATACTACTACTCAACAATTCATGCACAAGGAATTTCGCTTGTATGAAGTAAAGTACATTATATCATTAACCTACTAAAGAAAATTAATGGAAATTGGTGGAAATTTTTCTAATAAAATTGCTTTAATGAAAATAGAAATAAGAAAAACAGATTCTGGATGACACTTTTGGGAGGTGGATCTCCAATTAAATAGTTGTCTATAACAATGAAGGTTTAAAAAAAAATAAATTTCCCTAACAGAGAAGATGCATCTATTAACAAAACTGTTCCTCAGCGAATTTAATTCCTGTATATCAATTTTATTCCACATGGATACAGAAGTGTAGTGAGCCCCATATTAGTAAAGCATAAGAAACTTAACTTTAAGCATGTGTGGAATCCATTTTGAACTCCATGTTTAATTGGTTTTCTTCAACAGAGCTCCAATTCACTGAAATCAACAGATGTTCTGGAGATGTACTGAAGGCTGAGAGCAGAAATTAACCAAAACATATAAGTTATTTCTAAAGGCCAAGCATATATTCTGAATGTGCATACATTAAGGGATAAAATCTTGAGCAAATGCTCTCCCTTGGCACCAGAGGGAAAAGGAAAGGCTGAAGCTTTCTTGAATCTCCCCACCCAATTCCTACCTGCCTGTAATCAAGTTCTTATGACTGATCTGCCCTTCCAATTTAAAAGGAATCCTACAAGAGCCTTCCTTCTAACTTATTATAGCAGTTTCCTTTGAGAAGCTGTGTTAAGCCACCACCTTTACATAATTTTCAAATACACAATTTCCATCCAAACAATCCTAAATTCTGGAAGTATCCTCACTCTCTGCTTGTCAGACTATAAAAAATACAACACAGTAAATCCAAGTGAAAAAACCCCCAACAATCCAAACCAAAAACAAAACAAACAAACAACCAACGAGCCAGGCCCTGCTTTTACTGTTTTAAAAGTCACCTTCTCTCCTAGTCTTTGTCCCTCTTCATCTCGAATTTAAGGTTCCTTTTTATGAGGGTATGTTGATTTGGCACAGACAGGTTTTTGGTAGCAGGGGATGGGTCACAGAAGTGACTTCTGTGAGAAGCTGCTGGAAGTTTCCTCCATGTCCAACAGAGCCACTCTGATGGCTCTGAAGATGGACATGCTGCTGGCCCCGTTAGAGATGTTGGTATAATGGCTGGTAAATGTCATCTGTGATGACATTTAAGAAGGAAATCAAACCAGCACACGGGCAGTTTTTTCCAGGGGTGGCGAGGTGCCGCCGCCAGGGTCATCCCGGCCCAGCCCGCGGCAATGTGCCACCGCAGCCGCCGCCATCTCGGTGCGGCCTGCAGCGAGCCTT